TACGAGTTAGAAATGGTAAGAATGGATATGTTTATTATTCTTTGTAAGAACTTGATCCTTTTCTCTTTATGCGTTGTCTCTGAATTCATCGTGGAAACTTTGATCTGTGATTAGTAATGATATAATCATATAATGCGAAGCTGGCGATTTAGTAGCAAAATCACAATGTTTTCTTTGTTTGATGCGGCGTTGATTACGACAAAAATAATGGTGAAAGACAAGGGGAGCATTGTCGTACACAGATAACACGAATTGTTTCAGTATGCTTCTTTAATCCTCTTTACCCGTGAATGCGTACAAATAGAAACTAAGGAAACATGAGTTTCTAGCTATATCTCCAGTTTATTATTATCTGATCGCTAAACAATATAATTTCTCTTGGTCATCAATTTTCCGCTGGCTTATTGTGCTTTGGTGATTTCTTTTGTCCGCAGGAATTTGATGAATTTCTGATTAAGTGATGGAAGAACTGTAGGATATGTTTGTGGATTTCTTTCATAGAATTTGTGCACTTGTTCTGCTCTTCTGGCGCCAATTTGAGTTATTAATGGATTTGTTAATGGCTCTCTTCTATCCAGATTTCGCTGAAATTAATTAAATCCATTAGCTACCTAAATTGTCATAGATCTATACAGTCTTCATCATTCAATCATAATGGAGATTCTATTTAATAAATTTGCAGCATTTGTCATCAATTTGATGCATAATTATAACTTTTCCGATCAATCTATTATTCTATCTATAGTGTCTGACAAGATCATATGGATGCAGAGTTGCAGGTGGAAACTATAGGGTCAAATTGCTTGCTTGATTTGTTGGGAAAGAAATCTATTATTACTCCTTCAGACTTAATAATAATAGATAGCATTCTGTATCTTTCCACTGAAAATCTATGGGAAGACATGCCAGAGATCCTCACTCGCCTTCCCCCTGACCTGAAGCGCTCTGTTATCGACTGTCTGATCAGGCAAAGTCTCCTTAACTATTTTCAAGATATTAGCCTAATAAACAGGCATGCTACACATTTTTCAAGATTAAGCAAGCAAGATTCTCTTTCAAAGAGGCGTCTTGAAGGGCAACCTGTTCGCAAGAATCCTTCCACCGATCAATCCTCTACTCCAACTCCAAGATTACGTCCTCGAATCCAAAACCCAAGCACGACTCCAGCTCCAGCTCCAGCTCCAATCTTAGCCCTACCTCCAGCCCCAAGTCCAGATATTGGTCTTTCTGTTCCCTCATTACCTCCGAGTGAACTCCCCTTACCCGAAGAAGATCCTGAGGATTCTTCTCAAAGCTTATCTCCAGATGACGTCCCTGAACTGGAATTTGTTCACCCAACGCCTCCTCTTTCTGGTGCTCCACCCAAACAAAGAAGCGACAACATTAAAAAGATCATTATTGCAGTGGTTCTAACTGCAACAACTACATTTACACTTGCTGCACTCTGCTTTTGTTGCTGTAATAGATATGCTGGAAGTAAGTACCAGACCATGTATGGGCACAAGGAAGAAAGGCCAATCTTAGCCTTGAGCCTAAGTGACTTCTCTGGTATGCAAATTTTTAATTGTTCTTCCAACCATAAAATGATGGTACAAAATGTTCAACGTGCAATTTCTTATTTTCAGGTTCATCACAGAATTCTTTTGGTTTATACATAGATAAGTTTGGTTCATCTTTTAAAACTGACGCAAACCAGAGTGGTCAACTCACATCCTTTGCAGCTGAAGGACGTTCTATAGCTTCAAGTTCAGCCGAGCTTACTAATAATGCAGCTTTTAATCCTTCTCCACCACCAGCACCGCCTCCGCCACCTCTCAGCAAAACTTCTACAGCTCCTCCTGCCCCACCTCCTCCCTTTCCTAAACCGAAGCCTGCTCCTCCACCCCCAAGAAGGCCGCCGCTACCAAAAGGCGTCCCTTTTCCTACACAAATGAGCTCAGGTTCCTGTGTGAATTCTCAACTTATGCAAAGTGATTCTTCAATGGTTAATGTTGATACCGATGGTGCCAAGACCAAGCTGAAGCCCTTCTTTTGGGATAAGGTGGCCAACCCTGATCAATCCATGGTCTGGCATCAGATTAAAGCGGGTTCATTCCAGTAAGCCTCATCAAAATAGAATTTAATGCTTTCCTTGTCAAGTTACTCGGCACTTGCCACTTCATCGTTGTAAATCATGAAACATTAGATTTTTGTTAATTTTACAGATTTAATGAGGAGATGATAGAAATGTTATTTGGCTACAATGCCACTGATCCGAAAAAGGAGTTTGGAAACGATTCTTCAGGACAACACATACAGATTCTAGATCAGAAAAAATCACAGAATTTGGCCATCTCTTTAAAGGCCCAAAATGTAAAAATAGAAGAAGTTTGTAATGCGTTAATGGAAGGTAATATTACAAATTCTTTTATGCATCGCCTTACCTTCCATAGTTTGAAGTTTGATATAGACATTAGAATTATCATAGAATTGACTTAGAATTATAACTACATTTTATTTGGTACTCTTTTCTATTCTGATTTAAATATCCCTTGTTATCCTTGCCAATTTGTTAATAGGTAGGGGCGTCTTCTACATGGTTGTTAGTCAACACTACATGCAACATTCAATCGGACTGAATCAAAAGTTCTAGTGAAGAAAAAATAATAAATTTGACTAAGCATATTGTTAGGATAAGAATAATGATGATGACCATCATAATCTCACATATTGTTAATCTTCAACAACAAAATTTTCATATATTTATGAATATCTTCTTAGTTGCCACCAAATATGCCTTTTTACTTATTTTTCTGATTAAATGCTTGAAGACAATTTAGACAAAGTGACAATATGTATCCTTCTACATTTATAAGAATCATGAAGATTATAAATTCAACCCCAAAATAGTTGGGATATAGCCTACTGATGACAAAAATTAAAAATCGGAGTAATGCCTTCTCCAACCAGGAAATGAGCTTCCAATAGAGCTGCTACAAACATTGTTGAGGATGGCACCGACCTCGGATGAGGAGCTGAAGCTTAGGCTATTTAACGACGACTCGGTTTTCCTCGGAC